AAACCCTTAAGGGTGTCACCTTTAAGTAGGATGCTCTTAATAAAAGTTGCAAGATCTTTTGATAATTTTCCTCGTGGCTTTATGCAATCCTTGTAAAACTGAGTATTTTATTGCTATAATCTTTTCTTTTTTTTTTTGCTATAATCTTCACATTTCCGATTCCGGTTTGGTCTCTTATAATCGGCATAGAGCATTTTTACCAAGCCGTGCAAGTTGCAACAATACTGTAAGTTTCATACATCAGAAAACATTTGAGATTGATCCTTTTTGTTTGTTTATATGTCGGCTAATGCTACACTTCGTATTGAAAACTCAGCCATGGATGTGAAGAGCATATGCTCCTTAAAACGGCAAATAACCAAGTTGCTACTGCAAAATTAATCACTAAACTTGTAAACAAAATGAAATATTCTTCAAACTTGTAAACAAAATTAGATATTCTTCAAAGTGTGCTGCTTTTCATGAATGTAAAAAGAAATTAGTCTGTTTAACACAAAGCATGCGTCGAAGACATTAATCATAGTTGGATAAGCCACAAAAAAAAAAAACACTCATTCTGAAAATTATATAACAGAAAGAACATACGTCAAAGCCTTGTGACGCATTCATCAAACAGTAACTGCAGGAACCTTCATGCCATCACATTTCTCAGGGACTGTAAGCACATGATCAAACCACACAACTTTCCCCCATATTTCACAGTTTTTGTTGCGCCTTTCAAGTGCAATCTCGACACACCAAATGCTCCTCTCATAGAAATAACCATCATCAGGCAAACTCTCTGCCCACAAAACCGCCATCTTTCTACCATAATCAGCCAATATAACACGAGCGGCATGAGATAAATTCGGTAGTCCTACCAAACCCTCCAACTTTTTCCACGTGCTTACCTCAGTGTCATACCATCTGAAAACTTTGTCATAAAAGAAGCAGAATACAAAACATTCTCAATCTTGCAATAAGAACCTGCATGCATATACCGAAGCATCTGTCTTCCAACCATGTCCCATCTACCTTCCTTGGAATTGTAAGCAACAAACTTTGTGCTAGTCTTCAAGTGGAACTTCCCGTCAATACATGTGCTTTTTCAGTAAAAATTGCATGTGCTCTCGCTCCAAGGGATGGGATCCCAAATTTGTGTTTTTGTATCGAACACCTCGATGATCGAGCTCTTAAAGGCAACACCATCTTTGTCGCAACCTGCTACATATATCTTTTGATCAATAACGCTCGCAGTAAGTGACCTTAGCTTCACCCGGAAGCTTGGAGCCTCGCGCCACGTGTGAGACTTACAATCCAGAACAGAGATGCTACTGGAGGATCTAGACCCGCCAATGTTATAGATACTTGAACCAACCGTCACTAGACCATCACATCAATCGTTGACAGGAGGAGAATGTGTGATTGGAATTTGGAACCTGATTCAAAACATACCCACTTGACTTCTTCTTCTTACTTGTGGGACAAGTTGTGTTATTGGATAGGTTTTCATCAGGTTTTCATCAGGTTTCCGGCACAGGGGGAAGCACCTATGGTTCTGATCAGAATTGGAATATATGCATACATAGAGACAACCCTCGGTATGTCCCAAGAGCGACCGAGCCTTGTAAAGCTCTGGTGAAGCAAGGAGAGATGGGAAGCTCTTAGAGACGAGCGAGAGAGTCGGATAGTACAACCTTGATACGCGTGCGAGGCAGCTCAATAGCAAATCATAGGGAAGCGACGGATTTGAGGTCGTCGGAGACTGCTCCTCCTTCTTCCTCTGTATATTTTCCGGGGACGACATTGACGGAACCAACGAGACGAAATGGCCTTAGGTCAACTTTCTCTTGTAGAAGAAGACAACGCATTAGGTTAGTGTAAGAAATTCTTGGGCTTCATGGGCCGTTACTAAATTGCAAAAATTGTTCTTATGCTTGGAATAGATGTAAAATCCTTCTAAATCTTAAGTATCTAATTGCTATCATCTTCACAATTCTTATTCCGGTTTGGTCTCTTATACTCGACGCTTATACCAATTTTAGTTACCAAGCCGTGTGCAACAATACTGCAAAACTTAAGAGCTTCCTAAAAGGGCCTAGTCATTAGTCATTACGTAAGTTTCATACATGAGAAAGCCTTTGGGATTGGTCATTTTTGTTTGTCTTTATGTGCTAATGCTACACTTCATATTGAAAAACTCAGCCATGGATGTCAAGTAGCATAGAACTTGAAAGATCTCTACAAGATGCTGCCATCACTTGAAGACTCTCTCTCGGTCTCTCTTCGATTTCCCGAAACGCGGGACAACCACAGGACCACCACGAACTCTTTCAAGGGCAAAACCTATTCTCAGTGGCCGACCTAATAATCCCTGTAACAAAGCAATCACTTAAGAACACCATTCATAGTAATAACAAAACAAATCCTTTTCTTTTGCTTAATTTGTACCTTTCCATCCATGGCATCTTTCGCACATAGAGCATCGTCTTCCTTTACAAAATCAACAAAACCAAATCCTTTTGATCTTCCACTTTCTTTATCGTACGCGATCCTAACTGAAAACACAAATAACACTACCAAGTAAAGAATCTAAGTTGAAAAAATTGCGACTCAAGCTCTTCATTGTGGATTTCCAAGTGAGAGAGTAAGTAAAAGCTCTTCAAGCTTGTATAAAACTCATTAACAAACTAAACACATCCAACAAAAAAACCATATATACCCAAAAATCAGAGCCAAAAGGCTCATTCAGACATTTCATCGAACACCTGGAGGACTTTATAGATAACAATCAAAACGCTTACCTTCTGAAACCTCTCCAAAGGAAGAGAAAGCGTCTTTAAGCGATTGCTCATCCACCGACCAAGACAATCCTGCAGACGAGTATCAATATCGTCAATTGTCATGTAAAATTCGATATTTTGCCATATATATTACAATAACTCATTCGAACCTCCAATGAATAGCTTGGAACTAGGCGATGC